TGTAACTTCAGTGAAGTTTTGGCATATTTGTACCTGTAGCAGTAATGCTGATTTCTTTTGAAGAAAAAAAGCGCCTTATCCAGACTGCTATGTCATGATTAGACTGCRGGTAGAGGAACTCGACAGAGCAGTTTTAGCACAAATATGACTTTCTTTCCAAACTTTTCTAAAACAACAATAGATTTGCTTTTGGTGTTATGACATCCCACTTACCAAACTCTCTGGCTACTCTAATTGAAGGACTGCCTCTTCTCATTCCCGTTTATAGACACAAAATGAATGCACTGTATATTTCAGCATAAAGGTAAGCCCTCCTATAGAAATATCCTACATCTACAGCATCTACAGTATCTACAGCAGTGAGCTACTTCAAGGCCAGTGCTACCAGTAGTAGGTGTTGTTAGAATAGGCTCCACCAGACTCTCTTACATCATGTATCACCTTGTACCAGACTAAAATCGTCTGGATTATTCATTAGCAAAGCACATGCAAACAAAGGATAGAGGACAGGTATCCAGGTTGTGTTCATCTCCACAAAAATAGCAACAAATTAGGAATATGACAGCTCTCATTTCCTCTCTTTCTGTAGGGGTGAGCACAGGAGGTGCCGGATATAAACATGGCATTTGCCAAGAGAACTGGCTTGCTCATGACTGTGCTGGATGCTGTCAGGAATAATTAGATTAACCATGAGCAGTCCAACATGGAGAGGAATAGCAGAAGATGGTCATGCCTCAGAGGCAGCCCTGTGCAGTCCCTTTCCTCCCTTTGCTGYTGCTAAGTGGAAGTGATTGCCCGACCGTCAGCAGGACGTTTTCCTGTTGTCAAGAACTAATGCAGTGCTCTGCCACAGCAGCAAAAGGCTTGCACTTTGTGTGACAGAACATGGATGGGCACCTGAGATAACTTCTTTAGTAATAGGAGGCATTTTGGTTTGGAAATGGGAGGCATTTTGTGCTCCTGATGGGAGTTTTGCCACATTGGCCTTGCACATGTTATCTCCATCATCCTGGGTGATTGAGGAAGTCAATCATTGTCTTCAGCAGTTGGTGTGTAGTTACCTCTTATTCCTCAAATYATTTTTTTATAGGCCTTGGTGAGTTTTCTCATTTATTCTTCAAAAATGTTTTCTATTTTCTGCATTTGATTAAGTAAGTGTCAGAAGGAGTATGACAAAAAGCATAGATCATTCCTTCTTTTTTAAGGTTGTGATAAGGCTATGTACATTGAATTATTCCAGTATGGGCACACGGCTATTGCTTGTACGTCAGGCATTATTTCGTACTGGTGCAAACATGCCTGGGATTTCATAGCCAGGAAAACAGAGTGTTTCAGATTRTTTGTTGAGTTTCTGGGAGCTGCAGCTGTAACCCTTCTCCTGAAAACCTGTGCTGTGGRGTGGTATCCATCCACCCAGCAGAGGCTGCTTGTTGCCCAGGATCCRCGTGTGTACAGAGCATGCACAGCTGCAGTCCCAGCTTTAATTGTTGCTTAACCTTCTGTTCACAACCCCCAAGTTGAGCATAACATAAATCCAGCAAAATGTTTGCTTTCAGCAAAATAAAAACATATGCATGTGAGATATTATAACATGTCGTATCTATGCCTACAGTTGCACAGAAYGCGCTAGGCCTTGAGCAAAGTCAGGGAAATGAAATTTCCTTAGAATTATTGTGTATATTAATTGTAGTAATTTAAAGAAACCATGGTAAGGGAAAGTCAGTGTTGCTTTTCAGTGAAATGGAGAGACCTTGCTGGCAGGTGGAGTGTAAAGGCAGTATACGGCATTTATTATTCACATCCCTCCGAGCTGGCTGGGTTTCCTCAGCCACGGGTCGCAGCCAGGAGGCCCAGAGAAGCTGTTCTCCACCCCCTGCATGTCACCTGTGCCCTCAGCACATGGCTGAGTTGGGTCCTTGTAGGGGAGTGAGTCCATCCTTTGGAATAGGATGTGCCGGTGCCTCCATCTCCCCAGTTCACAGTCGATTTAAGCTGGTCTAAGCACGAGYTGCAGTCTGAAGGGAAGGCAAGTCCCATTTGCCTGTATTTCAAACACATCTCCCCGTTGTGAGAGCGTGGCCTTGGCATCAGAATCAAGACCAAAATACTCTCCTGAGAAAGCAGAAGTGCTGCTCGCTGATAGCTACCACTGGGCCAGATTTCACATTTACTTCTAGCTGCAGTAGGATTTAACAAAAGAGAACACTTTAATAAAAAGCAATTTAAAACCAAGATAGAGTAATGCCTCGTTGAATTAATTTGCTCTACATTAAAATGAAATGGTGATGGTGCTGTATTGCAGCCTGTGTGGTTTCATCTAGTGTCTTTTGGGGCTCTGCAGAGCTTWAAGCCTCCAACAGTTGTGCTAAGGCCTACATGCTGTTTTGGAACCATGCAAATACCAGCATTGATTATATAAAGAAGTACATTAGAAGAACTGATGGTTTAAAATGTGACTSCAATACGCCTTATAGATTCAAATCCCAGAAGGTAAATGAAATCAATGCACTGCTATTGATCTGAAGCTGTCTGTGAGTTGTGGAGCCCAGCTGATGAATGTCAAGTGCCAACTACTAACAAAACTGTAGGCTGCTTCTGGTCAAGTCCTATGAACAGTCTTTGAACCGAGACCAAAGATGAAATCTTTAGGTTAGGCTGGAAACAATTCTGCTCCTAGAATTGGGATCCTGGTTTCGTAGAGCCTGACAGAGAGCAGATAGAGACTGGTGGCAGCAGGCTGGTTGAGCACTGTGAAACCCTGAGGTACTGATGTGCTGTTGAAAAAGAGAGGGGCAACAGGGTAGAAACTGGGGAGAGTTTGGAGATGGGGAACAAAAACAGAGAGGTTTAAAAAATAACACCTTTAGAGAAAGCTTAGCACAGGCAGGTCTGCTCTACCCAAAGAAACATACCCATGGGGGGCAGTTGTCTGCAAATAAATAGTGGGAAGTTATTAAGCAGTCAAGGATCAACTTCCAAATAATGGATGTTAACTTTAAATAAACTGATGAATGGAAGGAGAATTGAATAAATATCTGATTTTGATCCCTCTCTTATGCAGAAATGTGACCTCCTTTTCTTCACCGCGCTTCTCGTCTCCAACAGTTGCACCTCCAGAATCAAAAAAAGATAGATTGGCATCTTTACAGCTAAGTGTCTCTTGGGATATACATCTATTTTATAGAACTGCTGACCTCCCTGCCCAGCTGTTTCAGTCAGATGCTTCTGTTCTTGTTGCTGTAGGACTTGCTAAGTCTGACTTGAAATGACGAGGAGATAAAGATGGAGGGCTGTTTTAAGATAACAGAAAGCAAACCRACAAGATTTTTCCAGGACAGGGAAGTATTTCATGGAAAATCAGCAGAACCTCTTTCTCCAGGTGTCCAGGAATTTCTCCTTTCCTCAGGCAGTAGGTTTCTGGAGTACTTAGAAAATGTGAATTCTGGGCTTGCTTAGGAAAAACTATTAGGCTCTACTTTGCTGCTTCCACATCTAAGGATTAATCCAAATGGCAGAAGTATTGGCTATTTCCTATACTCCACCCTTCAATACAAACCTGCACTCAGCTGAGCCCTCAGCTTATAGGGCTGGTGCCAGGTGGTGACCTGGTTGCAAAAGCTTCTGAATTTTCAATACAGCAAGTATTCATTTCATAATGAAGGAGAATTTCCTTCATTAGAGATAGCTACAGTTAAGCCCTCCTAGGATGGTAACAGTAGGTTGAGAATAAATTGAGTAGTTTAAACAATCTCCACTCTTTTCAGTGTGTAGTGRCTAAGAGAGTCAACCAAAACAACCCTCTCTGCCGGGTAAGGCAGCGACAGTGCTGTAAAGGATATCTTCTCTGGGTGGCTAGATCCAACTAGACATCTGCTGGTGGGACATAAGCTGGGAAGGGCACACGGGTCTCCAGGGACCCACCAACCTGCACACATCAGGGTACTCCAACAGTCAGTGATAGGGGTTTCTGCACAGCCTGAACAAGRACTAGATAAATTCTCCTCACAAAGGGGCTATCACCTTTCAAAGCGAGCAGGGTCACTGCTGTCACTGAAGCCACCTGAATTTGCTAGCCAGGAGCCAGCAAGAGGCACCTGCCAAAGGGCATCAAACCAGGAGCCTTCCATGCGGCTGATTCTCCCTCTGCCCTGCAGTGCTGTTGTGCTTCATGCTTTGCTGGGGGAGGCAGYCCTGGCTCGCTGTTGGTACTCAAAGCATGACTCACTTCTCACAGCAAATCATTTCTCTCAAAAAGACAAGTTGCACCGTGTCAGCGTGATTATTGTATGAGCTGATGCCATGGGTAAGCAGAACCCTTTACACAAAAGGATGAAAGGACTTAGGACAGGGTGGAATTAGATGCAAGCTCTGTTAGCATTTTGTTTCACTTATATGAAATATTAGTAAATCCTCCTTTCATTTCTGCAAAGTGAAACCTAAATATGAATATGTAAGGACTAGATTCTCAGCTGGGATGAACTGTCTTTGCACCAAGATCTGGTGTATAGTTTTAAATTGCAAGTTCTTCATGTGTTTGCTCTCCCACCATGTTAAGATATGGATAATCCAGCTCTTGTACCTCAGCAGAACTTTATGTTGCTGCAGCAGGTACAGAAAGCTCAGGGCTATGAACTTCGGTGGACTGTATCCTGCAACATAAGCAGCTCAGGACACACATGAGTAGAAAGTAGATCTAGGGTTTTTTTATTGGGAATAGTAGCATTTCCTTATCTTTTTAAGGTAATATGAATATGTATACAATAGAGAGCAGGTTAGTTAAAACCTCAGGTCCTGTGCTAGGAGGTCAGACAAGAGCTTTCCTGCCATAGACCTCCAAGAGAGTGTTTGTTTAAAGTTCACGCACTAGTTCACTAGCATTAGGCTAGTGGTGTGTGCTGAAATAATCAATACAGCAGAGAGACTGGCTATGAAGGGAAACAAAGCTGAAAGATTTTTTTTCCCCCTTTCTTTCCTCTTTCCTCATGACTTCTCCAGGTTTTTCCACCATGTTCGGAAAAAAAAAGAAAAGGCTTGAAATCTCCGGCCCGTCCAACTTTGAGCATCGGGTTCACACGGGGTTCGACCACCGAGAGCAGAAGTTCACTGGACTACCTCAGCAGTGGCACAGCTTGCTAGCAGACACGGCGAACAGGCCCAAGCCCATGGTGGACCCCTCATGTATCACTCCCATCCAGCTCGCTCCTATGAAGGTACCGTACAGTCTTTGCTTCTTGTCTCCTTTGAATTTCCTAGGACAGCCTTAAGTGCCTTTGGCTTCGTAGGAGAAATGCTTCTGTGCCCTCCAAAGTGAGGCAAAGGTTGTACTTKATCGCTGTACATGGCAGCAGATGGGTGGATGGTGATTTCTGGCTTGAGGCTCGGTGATATTTTTGTCATATGACACAGACAGAACAACTCGTGGTTGTAAGCCTCAGAGTCTGGGCCACTGTTTGCCACACGGTTTCCCCATATCTGTTTGTGCCAGAGTCTTGGATAGAACTGCAAATGCAAATATTTAATACTGGGATTGAAAGGAAAAACTATTATATTCATTAAACYTCTAAAAAAGTCCCAGAAGAGCATGCATGATGGTGTTAGGGCTGCTAAGGGCAGTGCTTTGGTGTGTTCTCGGGCTATAGAAGTAAAGCCACAAGTCCCTTTGAAGGTCTAGGACAATACTCTTCTGCAGTATAAAGCTCCGTGATAATTAATTTAAGAATAATGCTTTAGGCAAAGGCAGTTTGGAGCAGAGGAGGGAGGGAAAAGTACGCTGACAAAAATAAAAAGTAGAAGAGAATGGCTATAGCAGCTCTAATAAGAGCCTGGCCTTGAGAACAGGTTGAGGGAAGATGAGTTAGTGGGATGAGAGCAGGTCAGTCTATTGAAGGTGTTTGTTGCCTGCACGTACAACGTGTTGGGGGAGGCAGAAGCTGACTGGACTGCTGGGCTCGAGTGGTGGCACCCCATGGCTCAACACCCATCAGCAGCTACTGATGGGCAGAGCACCCGCATCAGTAGTGGGGCCAGCATCATTAGAGCCTTCATCAATAACAGAGTGCACCTTCAGGGAACTTGTGCATGCTGATAGTACGTGAACAAATAGTGAAAAAGAGGAAATGGCTTCAGGTTCTGATGTGATCCAGATTAGATACCTGAAAATAATAATAAAAGAAGGCATCACAAGGCTGCTAGAACTGTCGGAACAGGTACCATTGCAGCTGTGGGGTCCCCATCCTTGGAGGTTCAAGATTCAGATGGACAAATCTGACCAGGTTTAGTGTTACCAGTAGTCCTGCTCCAAGCACAGCCTGAACTAGTTGGCATCCAGGATTCCCTTCCCAGCAATGTTTCTATGACTCTACATCCACTGTCCCAGTAAATCACACCTGCCATGCTGGTAGTTGCTGTATACTCTGCTCACTATACAGAGCTTACTCATACTTTGCCTCTCACTCTCATTAAACTGAAAAATAAATTTAGGATTGCAAATTCATGTGGATTTCTTTTCCCTCAAGGAAAAATCAGATAATCCTGAGAGCACAGACCCTGTATTTGTATTTGATAAATGCTCTTTGCTTCATTTGCATTTGCTGCTTCCTCCTGAATAATGCTCATCATTTACTGATCAGGATTTCCAGGCATTGCTACAAGACAAGGAGGATAAAAGAGAAGTCTTGATTTTTTTGCTGTGATAGAATATTTTACTTTATAATAGATGCCCAGGATAATGAGGGGAAAAAGGAGGCAAACCTTTGCCTACTAGCAGAGAAAAGCAAGTCTATTCCACAGCCCTTTTTAGCACCAAAATATCCCTGGGTATTTTGACGTGAGTGAATAAAGATGTTTTAAAGATGAAAAACTCATTTTATTATCTCATGGCAGTACCGTCTCTTTTCTGCAATTCTGAAGCCATAAATCTCTAAGCATAAAATACTTTAAAATATATTAGCTTTATCAACACCCCTTAGGCAATATAAATCTGTGTCTGAGCCTACAAATGTACATATGCATATGGTGGTTCGTGTGTATCTTCATAGTGAAGCAGTCTGCTCCGAGTGTGGGGAGGATCAAGCCTGMAGTGAATAAGTGAGCATTTCACGGCAGAAAAAAAATCACTGTCAGTAATTCCTAAGAAACTGTATGGTCTTGCTCGTCTGTCTGTGTATCCTAAGCAGTTGTTTTAATGAGGATGCATCTGCCGTGGTGTTTTAGCTGGGATTGGGAGTGCGCTTTTGAACACAAGCTGTGCCCGTGTCTCAGCGCTGAGACCCTGTCGCGTTCTCCCAGGTGGCAGCTCCTGCAGGACCTTCCCCATAGGGACCTGCAGGAGCCTTAGTCAGACAGGACAAACGATGGGGCTTTTGAAGCAGCTTAATGGCATTCCAGTTAATTCCACTCTAAAGGTGTGATGAGCAAATGTGATTAAGACTGCAGGATTCAGAGTGTTGTGCCTTCACCCTCCAGTTACTTTCTCTCTCTTTATTATAGCCTATTGAAATAGGCCTCCATTATAATCCTGGGGATGGGGGAAAAAAAGATAGTTTTAATACTAGTTAGTTTTAATGCACCTATATTCTCTAATTTGTGATTCTGACTGTAATCTGAGAATTTGCTCTTAACTTTGTAAGAAATCATTATAGTGTGTATTCATTAAAAATTAACCTGCCTTGTTTTGGTGCATCTTAAGTTATGGAGTTAAATGAGGTTGTGACCACCTTAAAACTGAAAGCAGTGTTAAAGTAATTCAGGATAAACACTTTATTCAGATTAGTTTTTGCAAATGTGCACATGCATTTACTTATTTAGCTCTGTTAGAAAGTGACTTAGATGCTTAGGATCTTATAATTTTGGTGAGAACCAAAGATTTAAAGTGCCCTTGCAGCCGGTGATGATAGAAATCAAAGACTCCAAGCTCATGATGGTCTTTACTTTTTTATGGTTATTACTTTATTTTCCACACAGCAGTTAATACAGTTTAATTAGCATACTTGTAAATGCACTGAGGTGTAGCAGAAACAGGTTCATAATTGAGTTCTGAGTCACCCTATGAAGGCAACCTGAGGCATTAGTGCAGAGTTAGCCCTTGTGGCAGCTCTGTGCTTTGCAGTTCTGGGTTTCTAAACTTGCTTTGTTTTTAATTACTTAGTCAATAGTCAATAGTCAATACTCACAGTGTGAGGTAGAAGTGTTCGTGCTGGTGGTTTGAGGCTAAGCAATCGTGCAGGTTCTGGAGTCAAGGTTAACGGAGTGTTTTGTTGGGTTTGGGGACAGAATGGATTCTCTTTGCTTTGGGCTTCATCCAAAGCCTAAGGAAAGGAAGGGAAAGACTGAGGAGGACCCTGGGGTGCCCTGTCCATCAGGGAGGTTCATGGTGCTGCCTCTGCCTTCCAGAGACCAGAGGGTTATGGACCTTTTGCACGAGGGTGGCACCACAGGGGCATGCTGATAATAATTAGCAGGGTTGCCTACAAACCTGAACTGACTGCCAAAATTCCTGCACTTCAAACACAAGGAAAGACCATAATGAATTCCCATCCCCAGTGTGGATGACCTGGGTACCAATGAAGTTTTGTATATCTCAAATTCTAACATGAGTCAGTAAAACATGGCAGAAAATAGCACAAAGAGTACAAGTGACAGTGCTGTCTGGATGAGTTTCTGCTGGTTTTGAAAAAAAGGCTGTCTTTTTCCACTGAAAACTTTCCTGCATGAAAAATGGGAATCACTCCTGTCTTCCTGCACTCAAGATAGATTCCATGAACTCTCAGGTCCTACTTTTAGTCCACGTGCATCAGCCCTTTTTATTCTCTGCATACCTGGGATTCATTTTTTGTGTATTTTTCTCCAGCATCCAATATGCTTGGGCTTTCCTCCATYATAAGAAAGAACAAATTATTTGGTCAATCCGTTGCCATCATTCTGTACAATTGGCTGCCACCTTTTGATTTTGAAAGGCCTCTAAATCAATAACTAGGCAAACAAACACTAATTAGGCAGCAAAATCCTGTCACTTCTTTATAATTTCTCTACTCTACACAAAGTATTAAAAAAAAAAAAAACCCAAACACCAGAACATGTTGATTTTCCTTAAGAGCATAGTGTTGGCTTTGTAAAGGTGCTTTACTAAGATATTTGTGAATGTTCACTGATGTTGGTGAAGGCAGGACAACACTGAACCGTTAAAACACCCTCCTTGTGTTTCCTGGTGCCACTAATGCAAAGAAGGAGATGATGGGACCTTATCCTGGTATTATATCCATTTATATCTCTAACCAAAGGTGAGATCTAGTGTTGGCATTGTATCAGGCAATTATTTATATTTCTATTTTGCTTGCTTTAATGAAGTTTCCCATATATTTTCTCCCCTTTTTTTTTATGTTCTCTTAGCACATACTTGTACATACTCTTTTATGTCTAGTATGTCTTGTACATACTAGCACATACTCTTTTATGTTCTCTTAGCACATACTTGGAGGCTAATTCTTCTGGTCTTTCCCCCTTCAAGAATATCATGTTCCGTTAGGAACAYGTTGTGGGCTCTTTGTCACTGCTGTGCAAGCTGATGAAGAAAAAATGCCCTGTGTCCTGCTCCCATGCCCTATCAGTGATAGGGCCCGTTGTGGTCCTGCAGTGTAATTCCATGCATTTCCTGATGTACCTGCCTCTCGGTATCTCCCRTACTGAGATAACTCATGTGAACAACCAAGACGTGGCAACGCAGAGGGGTTATTCAGCTGTTCTGGAGGTGGTTGGCAGCCAGCAAAGGCACGGCAAGATCATGGGCATGACRTGGGTGCTGTGCTGCTGGCCAAGGGGAAGTAGCTGTGCTGTGCCGTGTTGGTGTGAGCCACGTTGAAACTGGAGAGAGCAAGTGCTTTGCATCCGTTCACCAAAATACCCCGGGCTGCCCGTGGTGGCAGTGGCCCATGTGCTCTACTGGGGTCAGTTGTTCAGGGGGGGCTGTGGCATGTGTGAGCTTTCCTGCTCTGAGTTTCTGAACGGGACTGACCGTGGTGGCACTGACCTGTCTCCCATCCTCGTGTTTCAGAGGCCTCATCTATGCGGTTTGTCTTATCTGCAGTTTTAGTTTTCTTTGCTGTTGTCTCTCAAACATTCACCCCAGTGCTCCCACACAGGCCTCTGCTGTGACGCCAGGGGCCTAATTTGAGTTTTAAACACTAAAATCAAGAGAACCAATTCCAGGAGGCTA